AAACGTAGAATAGATCATATTTGTGTATAGTAAGATAATCTAGTGATTTACTAGTTTGTTACCAAATCTATGATTTACTAGTTTGTTAACAAATCTATGATTTCATAGTTTTGTTACAAAATTTATGATTTCATGGTTTGTTACTAAATCTATGAATTAGAATGTAATCTTCATTATACACATCTATAAATACATGAGGTCATGACCCTAAGTCAGGTCATTGAGCCATTCAACCTAACATGTTATCAAAGCCAAAGGTTTATTTTTAAATGTCTACCATATCTTCCTCCTCCTCTCCATCCACCATCTCCAACACCGTCTCAACTACCATGGCAACCTTTGGCCCAATCCCTCTACACCATGCTGTCACAATTCGTTTAACCAAAAACAACTTCATCATATGGCGCGCCCAGCTCCTCCCCTACCTACGGAGTACGAAGCTTATAGGCTACCTCGATGGCACCAATGTCGCACCTGCCAAGTTGGTCCCTTCCTCAACTGCGGCTGGTGCTGAGCTGGTCTCTAATCCGGCCTATAATCAGTGGTATGATCAGGATCAACAGGTCCTTAGCGGTCTTCTCTTCTCCATGTCTGAGGAGATTCTTCACGATGTGGTTGCCGCTACTACGTCCAAAGAGGCGTGGGATACCCTGCAACGGATGTTTTCGTCGTCAACTCGTGCTCGCACTACTCAGATTCATGTTGAGCTCGCCACGTCCAAGAAACGAGATCAATCTGATGCAAATTATTTTCGCAAGATCAAAGGGCTAGCCACCGAGTTGGCTGCCGTCGGCTCTGCCTTGCAGGATGATGATGTGATCACGTATCTTCTCGCTGGTCTTGGCTTTAACTATAATCCCTTCGTCACCTCAATGGCTACCAAGATGAATCCCTCACGTTTGATGATGTGTTTGCACATCTAATGACATGTGAAGCTCGCCAACTACAACACCAGGCTGAACTTCAGTTAAATCTTGGATCTTCTGCCAATTATGCTGGTCGTGGTGGTCAGCAGAAGAATCGTGGGCGTAGGGATCGTGGTCGTGGTCATTCTCAAGGTTATGCACCCTCTCGTCCTGCTGGTGATCGTCGTGGCCCTTCTACTCGTCCTTCCTGCTAGATCTGCTGCAAAGTGGGGCATACTGCTATCCGCTGCTGGCATAGGATGGATGAGTCCTATCAAGATGAACCTTCTTCTGCTCCTCCTACGACACTGGCGGCTACTTCCTCTTACAAGATTGACCCAAATTGGTACAGCGACACAGGCGCTACGGATCATATCACCAGTGACCTAGATCGTCTCGTTGTGCGTGAACGCTATCATGGAGGTGAACAAGTTCAAGTCGGAAATGGAGCAGGTTTACGTGTTTTGCATATTGGTCATTCTCTAATTAATACTGCTACTCGTCCTCTTGCATTGCGTAATATTTTGCATGTGCCTGAAATTTCCAAACATCTTCTTTCCGTTCATAAATTTTATCGTGATAATGAAGTATTTTTTGAATTCAATCATTGGCATTTTTCTATAAATGATCGACGGTCGAGGAAAAGTCTCATAGATGGGAGGTGTGAATTTGGTCTCTATCCTATTAAGCCATCCGATGTTGATGATCTCAAGCACGCCTTGGTGAGCAAATCTACTACTCACGCCCAATGGCATGCACGTCTTGGACATCCTTCATCTCAAGTAGTAAAATCAATTTTGCGTCTCAATAATATTTCGTGTGCTAGTGAGTCATCTTTGTCAGTTTGTAATGCGTGTCAGTCAACAAAAAGTCATCAGTTACCATATGCTAGTTCTTTCCATAGGTCTTCGTCACCTTTGGAACTTATTTTTTTTGGATGTTTGGGGCCTTGCACCTCCATCTGTTGGGGTTTTAAATATTATATTAGCTTCATTGATGATTTCAGTAAATTTTCGTGGATCTATTTGATGCATGATCGTACAGAAGCTCCTCGTATATTTTTGTAATTCCAAGTTCATGTTGAGCGCCTCCTAGATACTAAAATCAAGTGGGTCCAATCTGATTGGGGTGGGTAATATCAGAAAATTTATAACACATTTTTTTGTTCCCTTGGAATTGCTCATCATGTTTCGTGCCCTCACACACATCAACAAAATGGGTCTGCTGAACGCAAGCACCGTCATATTGTTGAAACTGGCCTAGCCCTTCTAGCTCATGCTCATGTACCTATTAAATTTTAGGACGACGCGTTTCTTACAGCCACATATCTCATCAATCGTCTTCCTACTCGTGTCATCGATAACAAATGCCCCTTAGAGCATCTTTTTCATACCCCACCAAATTACTCCTTATTAAAAAAATTTGGGTGTGCTTGTTGGCCTCATCTTCGTCCTTATAACAAACAAAAGCTCTCTTTTCGATCAAAGGAATGTGTCTTTCTAGGCTATAGTTCTTTACATAAAGGGTATAAGTGTCTTGACACAGATTCTGGTCGTGTCTATATGTCTAGAGACGTCATATTTGATGAAAATGTTTTTCCATTCAAGAGAGCCCTACCTATTTCTTCCCCAATCATGCAGTCGACGCATAATGTCCCTGATTTGTGTGCCTTGCATTTGGGTAATAGCAGTACTAATTTGGAGAATGATCACATGCATATGTCTGTGCCTACTAACTCTTTGGATGCAGAAAATTTGTTGTCTACATCAGCTTCGGAATTGCCGCAGCAATCCTCCGCGTCGCTGCCATGCGAATCGGCGTTGGTTGTTCCGCCAATGATTGAGGTCTCGGCTCCTCCGCCAGCAGATGATATTGCACAATGCCCGATCAAATCCTCGGCCGCTGGTCAACCAACTGCTGTAGCATCGGTTGCTCCCCTCGCAACGGCTGATACGACTGTCCCCTCAAATGTGGATCCTGCACCTACTACTCATCCGTATGGTACTCGATTGAAGCACAATATCAAGAAACCCAAGGTGCGTACAGATGGAACAATAACATATTTTGTAGTTCGGTCTTCTGCCTCTGAACCTACTTCACATATTACTGCTATGGAACATCCCCTCTAGCGTCAGGCAATGAATGATGAATTTCAGGCACTTTAAAAAAATAAGACATGGCACTTAGTTCCTCCTCGTGCTGGTCTTAACGTTATTGATTGCAAATGGGTTTTCAAACTCAAGCAAAAGCCAGATGGCTCTGTTGATCGCTACAAAGCACGCCTGGTTGCTAAAGGGTTTAAACAACAGTATGGCATTGATTATGATGATACCTTTAGTCCAGTTGTTAAGCCCACTACCATTCGGCTCTTACTATCTCTTGCTATTTCTCGTGGTTGGGCTATTTGGCATATTGATATTCAAAATTCTTTTCTTCATGGCTTTCTTAATGAAGATGTTTATATGAAGCAGCCCCCTGGATTTGTGGATTCTCAACACCCTGGTTATCTCTGAAAGCTGGATAAGTTGCTTTATGGCCTTAAACAAGCTCCGCGTGCCTGGTTTTCTCGCCTTAGCTCCAAATTATTACAGCTGGATTTTACACCTTCAAAGGCAGATGTTTCTCTTTTCATTTTTAACCAGACGGGCATTCAGATGTATATCCTCATCTATGTTGATGACATTATTATTATCAGCTCATCTTCTACGGCTACTGAGAAACTTCTTACACAACTTCAGGATGATTTTGTCATCAAGGATCTTCGCATTTTGAGTTATTTTCTTGGGATTGAGGTCCGCCATACTTCCAATGGACTTATTTTGACACAACATAAATACATTCAAGATTTATTGTCCAGAACCAATACGCTCACCTCCAAAGGTGTGCTCACACCTATGCTGCCTAGTGAGAAGTTGTTATTGGATGGTGGTGAAAAGCTTTCGCCTGAGGATACTACTTGCTATCGGAGTGTCGTTGGTGCTCTTCAATATTTTTCTCTGACATGTCCTAATATATCATTCTGTGTCAATAGAGTGTGTCAGTGCATGTCCTCCCCGACATCTATACATTGGGTGGCAGTCAAACGAATTCTTCGTTATCTACATGACACTATTGATATGGGTTTGTGTCTTACAAAGTCCAACACTAATTTGTTGAGTGCCTTTTCAGATGCTGATTGGGCCGAGAATCCTGATGATCGTCGAAGCACTAGAGGCTATGTGATCTTCTTTGGTGGTAATCTTATCTCTTGGAGTTCGAGGAAACAATCAACAGTTACTCGTTCTAGTACGGAGGCTGAATATAAGGCGGTTGCTGATGCCACTGCCGAATTAATTTGGATCCAAGTTCTCTTGCGTGAGCTCGGGATCTCGCAAGCGCGAGCACCTAGTCTGTGGTGTGACAACATTGGTGCCACCTACCTGTCCGCCAATCCAATTTTTCATCGACGGACGAAGCATGTTGAGGTTGATTATCACTTCGTTCGTGAATGAGTATCGACTCGTCAGCTTGATGTTCTACTCATTTCTTCCAAGGATTAGCTCGCCGATATCATGACAAAGTCATTGTCAGCTCCTTCTTTTAGCAATTTTAGGCGCAATCTGAACTTAGTAGTACATCGTCCAAATTGAGGGGGGTGTTAAATGTAGAATAGATCATATTTGTGTATAGTAAGATAATCTAGTGATTTACTAGTTTGTTACCAAATCTTTGATTTACTGGTTTGTTACCAAATCTATGATTTCATGGTTTGTTACTAAATTTATGATTTAGAATGTAATCTTCATCATCTATAAATACATAAGGTCGTGACCCTAGGTCAAGTCATTGAGCCATTCAACCTATCAGTACTCACCTTGATTGCCTCTGATAATGTTACAAATAACCATATGTGGATAAAAAAAAAAAATATAAGAAACGGGTCCAAAAAGTCCAAGCGGAGTCATTGCTGAAATAGGCCTCTGGAGTTGATCGCTAAAGGATCGACTTATGACAGTCCATGAAAGTATTTTAAGATGAAGTTTTCATTTTATGATCAAATTTAAACGTTTATTTCCTCACAAAATGATTATGTTATGATGACAGTAGCGACTCTAGGTAAGTAAAAATTTAGGATCGTTACATAGACGTTTGAAGGTACAACGATCGTCATGCACCATGTCAAGCATGATGATCATCTCAATCTCATAGTGTATGCATCTCTTCGCATCATAAAGAGGAAGTATCTTGATGAATATGACCATATAACTATGCATGAGGTACCTTTACTTTTCAATTTAAACAAATAATGCAGCACAACTCATTCATTACTCACATTACACTTGGTAATATGCATACATAAGCTTTTATAAATCATTTCATTCATAACATAGCTTTCAAATCATAGCTTAGGGGTTATGCATCGTAAAATTCTTCATTTCTATACATATTCATATTATAGTACATCATGACATCTCACAACATAACATAACTCATCAACATAAATTGACATTACATTTATAACAAAATGTTACTTGGCATATCTTGGCATATCACAAACATACATACATAAGATATGTGCACAGTTATTGGACACGTGTCATTATATATAAAGCAATCCTTCCAACCAATTGATGGTAGACTCACTTGCTTTGTTGATCTACCCCTTCATGCTAGCTTAAGGCTCCTCTCTTAAATTTAATTCTACTAAAAGAATCCCACAATCAATAAATTAGAATTCTACTATGTGAGTTAGACTCACCTAATTTTTCATAAAATAATTTAAACTTACTTCTAATAATTTAAATTATCTAAACTTAATTTTGCATAAAATAATTTAAACTTGATTTCAAAAGTTTAAACTAGGTAAAAGGTAGTTATACTAATCTTAAATGCTTCCAAAGAGTTGAAACTAATAAGAAAGAGTTTGTACGTATCAGACCCAAGTCGGATCAACTGAAATGTTGGTCTGGAATTGTCAAAAAACATATTCTCCGACTGATTTTGAATCGTTCAAGTAGTATCTAAGGAAGTAAGAGACCTCTTCTTATAATGGAACCTAACTCCCCACTTTTCAACGTAAGTACGTGGACAACTTTATTTATTTATTTTTGTTATTCCACTAACTATTATTTAACTAATTTAAAATATTTGAAACGGGTGTGGATCAAATAGGAGAGTCAAGTGTTTTAATTTCTTAGGAATATCCTAATTATGATGTCATTGGACTCCACACGTGGAGTTGGAGGTCTACAAAGAGACCCAAGCTAACACCGACTAAGGACATTGAGTTATTATCATGTTTAAATGTTTGGACAATGTTGAAGAAAATTTGTCATTAAATAATTTTTCTAGCATTACGACATATATGCACGTGATAACACCTTTATTTTTAAGATAGGGGTGGGTTTGTTACATAATATTTCTTTTTATTAATTATTTTCTTTTCTTAATAAAAGAAAAGAAAAAGTAGGAATAATTATTTGGCATCTCCTCCGACAACCACACTCATTAGAAGTATATGTTTTTGAAGGAGTAGATCACTTAATATAACATGTCTTGAATGACATAATTTTTTAATTAAACATTGGTTACCTATAACCCACCTAATCATTAACAAACATATGCCAAATTATATAGTCTTTTCCATCCCTAATTTTTGTTAGAAACTTAATTACATTACAATATGGGCTTTAAAACATAAGTTTTTTTAATATAATTTATCACTTACTTTTCGTTCATTTAAACTAAAATTAATTGTTTTTCTTGATATTTTAGCAAATAAATTATAAAAAATACATAATGATCTTATAAAAATGTTGGTTAACTAGATCATTATACCTATTTGGTGGCATTTTAGTATTGGTTTACCATTTTAATATGATTTTTGAGAATTTTAGGAATTACTTTAACCTAATTATTAAAATAAGAAAAAGAAAAGGAAAAAGAAAAAGAAAAGGAGAAAGATTTGCAATGATTTAATTTTAAGCATTGTCCCCCTAATCTTTCAGCTTTTGGTTTGGTTTAGTCATCAAAAAGTTCCCACTTTTATAATATGAAAAGAAAATGAAATGAATTGGCTCCAACCCATCTCTTCTAGTTCTTACAACCTTTTTATTAATTACTACAAATATATATATATATATATATATATATATATATATATATATATATATATATATATATAAAGTTCTATGTAATGGCACGTAAAAAAAAATAAGTGTAACAGTCGTGGGAAGACGTGAGATTTTTAGCGAGGCTCCGGGTCGAATACCCATCCGCATCAACCCACACTTATAGTCTAGTCGTTCTAGCAACCGCGCGATTTCGCGGCCCAACCATCCATTCAGCCTAGTAGACACGCCACGGCCCAACAACGTTACACGACTTAGCTAACTCACACGCCTGAGAACACGACCAACTCTTCCAACGACCTACATAAGTGAGAACGAATTCGAAGGACAAAAGCAAGCTAAATTGGAAAGAGATCTTTGGCTAAAGCCAACCAAGTAAGTGACCCTACTATTGGTTCGATCGAAAGACTTGTCTTATGTATGATGACATTTGCCCAGTGGCCCCTACACGTGTCATATATGTTGGATATGATGTATTATGATGATGTAATATGCTATGATGATGTGAGATGTATGACAATATGATATATTATAATGATATCTCATGTACGATGATATGCATGTATGAGATGTCATGTTGCACTATGATATGACATGTTACAACATGTATGATAATGAAGAGCTTTATGATGCACAACTCCAAAATAATGTTATGAATGATGAATCTATGAAACCTTTTGCATGCATGTTACCTAGGGTAATATGTGAAAAAGGTGAGAAGTTGTGTTACATAAATAATTAAGATGAAAAGTATAGTGACTTCATGCATATTGTATGTTCATTTAGATCGAGATACTTCTCCTTTTATGATGAGTAAGGACGCGTACACTATGATGATGATTATGACTATCATGTTTGATATGATACACGACGATCGTTGTACCTCAGGACATTTGGTTGTAGCCAACTAGCCCAACCATGCAGGCCCAGGGGATGTGCAAGCCCGCTTGGTGGGCCCACGTTCACATGTGTGGGTCGTGTGTACTACACATCTAATTTTTTCGGACTAGAAGCCACCTAAAAGACTATGGTTTTAAATGATAGATCTCTATTCACGATTGCATGTGTATGCATTTTATGACCCTAATAGTAGGGTGACTTACTAAGTATTTATTAAAATACTAAGTCATGTGCTACTTTTATATTTCAGGTAAAGGCAAGACACCCACATGTACAGTAGACTGCGACGTAGCACCAAAGACCATGGAACTTGCATAGGTAATCAACATTTATTTTTTAGTATATCTTAAGTTAGTGTAGGGCATTGCTATTTTAAATTGTTTTCTTTGATTTTATTTTTAATTTACTTTAAATATTTTAAAGGTATTGTTGACATCGTTTTATGAAGTCGTTTTACATTAATGTTTACACATAAACAAGTTATGTTATGCATGTGGTAGCTAACTCTATTCATGCATGGTCATTTGGGAATCAAATTTGAAGAGTGGGAGTTTTAAAATATAATGGAGAAATACTTTGAGTTAAATTATAATATTGACGTCATATAAATGAAGGGATTTTAAATGGGGAAGTTCAACAAGTTCTTGATTGATTTGTTAATTTAATATGAAGTTGGTAATAATTCTCTGTTTTTCTTTTTCTTTTCTTTTTTTTCTTTTTTTTTTCTCTCTCTTGAATGGAGAAAAAGTTGGTAAAGCTAATAAAACCAAGAGGTGATGATGGATAAATGACTGACATCACCATCTCCCTCCCCTTTTCCCCCTCTCTCTCTCCCCCTTTCTCTCTCTATATATATAGGGTTTCTTTTAACTATGTTTTAAAACAATGTACTCAATGATCCATACGTTTTTGTTCGGGGAGGGAGTTTGTTGACTACTCGATTTTCCTCTAGTATATTTTGAAGCTATTTAAATTTGGCACGAGTAGATATGATTTCATTTAATGGTCATACAACAGAAAATGAAATAAGAAAGTAATACAATATGAAAGCAAGTAAAAGGAGTTTGACATGTTACGGACATGCGACCAAGGGCAATACGGCATGATCGTCACATCCTCTCCCACCTAATTGGTTGACATTCTTGTCAACTGCCTAGTTTTAAAATATGCAATGTAGGTCGCCGTGGATTCCATATCTTCGGCATGTTCTCAATTAGTTTCGTTTGAAGGGGGGTTATTTCATTTGACAAGGAATTAGTGTCTTTCGACTTTCTTAACTCTATCAGCTAGAATCACTTTGATTTCAGATGGATTAACTCTATCAGCTAGATGGACTAAGGTTGCTTAAATGGATTACAGGTTGAATTTTCATCCATGTGGGCAATGCCACCTTGTAAAATGAAGCCTCAGTTTTATTAAGGATTTTGACTGATTCTTGATACTTCCTAACAAGTCTTTGGTCTTTTCGGCTTCAAAATAAAATCTGTTTTGGCCTGAGTTTGATGAGTACCTGGTCCTCGACTCGAAACACGAGGCAACACCACTTTTCATCCACCCACTTCTTCATATGTTTGGAAGCTTTTTCTATGTAAGCTCGAGTAATAATGTAGGGCACAGATGGTTGTCGTCCCCTCACAATCTCGAATGGAGTCTGTTTAGGGATGGTAGCTAGATGACCTATTCACGATTGTCCCCAAGAATTAAAAAAAACTTTGTCTAGTATGTTTCGATAGATTGACCATCTCTATCACTGACAATGCTTGTTGGGATGCCCCATAACTTCACTAATATTTAAAGAAAAATTGGACCATCAATTTAGCCAAACATTGCTTCAACGTGGGTACAAAAGTGATATACTTCGAAAATCAATCAATGATAACCAAGATTGCTTCATGTTCTCCTAACTTAGGGAAGGTGTGTGATGAAATCCAATGACACACTTTTCCAAGATCTCATTGGTATCAGCAAGCGTTCGAGAAGTCCCCAAACTTTGGTTTTCTCAACTTTGTCTTGCTGGTATATAAGACACTGTTGGAATATTTCATGATATCATTTTGCATGTTCGATCAGAAGTATCCTTTCTTCACTAAGGCGTA